CACCTCCCCCCGTGGCATGATGGCGCGGGGCGGGGCGTGGGGCGGAAGCGGCGCCGTGGCGCGGGAGGGGGCGGCATCATGGCGGCGCCGGGTAAGGCGAGGGCGGCGGGGCTGGGGCCGGTATCGGTACCGCGGAAGTGGAGGGACCCGGATTAACGCGTTTATCTCTCCGCAGGCCCGAGGCTGCGTCTGGAGGCGGCGCTCAGCTTCCTACTTCTCCTCGCCGGTGCCCAGGCCCTTGTCCCCAGCCATCGTCTCACTGCCCGCGACCTGGCGCGGCTGCGGGCGGTGCTGGAGCGGCCCTTCCCCGACGTGCGTGCCGCCTACTACTCCATCGTGGGGCTCAGCAGCCTCGGGGTGCGGGTAGCGGACGAAAAGGTGAGCGGGAGATGACCCGGCTGTCTCTGCCCGGGGGCGCTTTGCTGCCTGAGGGGCTGCTGCATAGCAGTGAAAGACAAATCATTAATATAATATGAGTTTATAGAGAGAGCTCTGCTTGGACAGGGCCGTGTGGGAAATGTAAAACGTACGCGCGTTATATCCTTAGTAAGTACCGGCGTATCGCTGGTAATTGGTGACTCTCGTGTGTTATTTGGGTAAATTGCATCTTTGTCCGGGCACTTACGAGGCCCTGGCTCGCTTACACTCAGTGCCTGTAAATGGTGGCTTCAGGGCTCGCTTCTCCACGGCCCGTTGTGATGTTATTGTAGACACCAATTTGTTTAACTGCCTTGTGAATAAGTTCCCTTCCTGTGGCACATTTGGTGCAGTGTACTGTTAAACAGAGTTCCCATTAGTTTCAGTTCAAGTACTGAATTCAGGCAGTGCTATTTTTATATATAATTAATTATATAATTTTAAGGCTGGTGGTATCAACATAATTCTTACTGCACTGTGTCTCTAAGCATTTCTAGTTTAAATGTTGCAGGTTGTGCTTTTAACAGCTTCCTCACATAGGCACACCTGTTTACCTGCGTGTGGATATTTACCTGTGCTTGTGAACTGTAAATAGAAATTTGTTCTTTCCTCATGGATTCATCCAGTACAGGGGTTCTAAACCCTTTGGCCTTGGTTTCTCTTCGAGTGCTGCACATAAGCTGTTAACTGTGAGGGTCCTGAAGATGGGGTTCATCTCGGTGCACCCCTTGCTGTGGCCTGTCACTGGGCACCTGTGGGCTACACTGGGAATTGGGTCACTGTGGCTGGATTTTTTATTAGTTCCTAGTTTTATTAGTTCCTAATTCTGGCAGTGATAGCACAGCCTTTGCTTCTGTAGGGAAACAGTATTTATTGATTTATTGATTTCTCAAGGTTTGTGGTGAGACGTTTTTTCTGCACAGCACACCTCTTCTCAGGGTGAGGTTATTTAAAAGGTAGAGGTAGTAAAAATAATAGCTAGGTATAACACCTGGACATCTGTCATGGAATGATATTTGTGTGCTCTCCTTGAGGCTGAACAGTCCCAGCTCCCTCAGCCTTCCCTCCTCAGAGATGCCCAAGTCCCTCATCATCTTCACAGCCCTCCAGTATATCCTTGTCTGTCTTGAGCTGGAGAGCCCAGCACTGAACACAGCACTCCAGATGTGCCTCAGCAGGGCTGAGTAGAGGGGCAGGATCACACCCCTGACCTGCTGGCAGTGCTCTTCCCAGTGCACCTCAGGATACCACTGGCCTACTTGGCACCCAGGACACTCTCCTGGCTCAAGGACAGCTTGTTGTCCACCAGGACCCTCAGGTTCATCCCCTGGAAGGCTATCCCATTGGTTAAGCATGATTTCCCTTTGGTGAATCCATGTTGGCTACTCCTCATCACCTGCTTTTCCTCCATGTGTTTAGAAATGAGCTGTTCCAACACCTTTCTAGGGCTGGAGGTGAGGCTGACTGGCCTGTGGTTACCAGCATTCTCTTCTTTTTCCTTTGTGACATTGGCTTTCCTCCAGTCCTCAGGCACCTCCTATTTTCCATGAGCTTCCAACGATGATGGAGAATGGCTTAGAAATAACATTTGCCAGCTCCCAGAGCACTTGTGGCTGCATCCCATTGGGGCCCATGGATTTGAGGGTATCAGGTTTGATTAAGTGACCTCTAACCTGATCCTCCTCAGCCAAGAGAAAGTCTAGGAGTATTCCTAGATTATGCAATCCTGTCCTGCTTGTAAAGGCCTGTGCTCCACATACTCAAAGTCCTGTGATTTATGCATGAGCAGTTAAATTCTTGGTTATTTTCTGTTTAAAATGCATCTCAATGATCCATCTGTCCAGCTGTCAGTTAATACAAATTAACAAGCAGTCCCACTGCTTGCCCCACTTCTCTCTGCACTCTGAAGTTCTGCGTTTGGATCCATTAATAATGGTGTGATATACAG